ATCAGCCGCTTTAAGGTCAAGGTCAAGCCGCTGGTTTTAAATTTAGATATAAGTGAAGGATATTATTGTAAATGGTTTTTCTGTGAGACCTAACGATTTTAGCCCCTGTTTTTGGTTAAATTCCTCAAATACCGGCCTATTTATTCAGAACAGCCTGTTGCAGTCTTCTTTTTGAGTTCTGCTAGTCTGTGTCTGCTGATTACCAGTCACACTCTGTAATTCTCGTTTTCTGCATTCGATTTCTCTCTAACTGTGCAATGTATTTTTACATCGTTAGCCTCTAGCAGAAATTCAGTCACCTTGTCTGCCAGAAGTTTTCTTAATCACAACTTGCCTCGAGACAAGATGAGAGCAAAAGTCACAGGTCGGCGTAGGCTCTCAGCCTCAGTAAGTAAGCATGGCTTGACTAAACCTAAGTCAGAAAGCTTACCTAAATCTAAGTCAGATGGTATTACTAGTCAGTCGTCTCCCGTTGTAACTGGTAGGCAGCTTAATCTGTCTGTACTTGACAACTGAAATGACTTTATACTAACGTTTGACACTTTGCTGTCAATTCTCGGAAATTTACTCGACGGGAACATCTCCGATATTCCCTCTCCAGAAGGTAGGCGTCTCGACTCACTTGTTCACCTGATCGCCAGTGAATCTAGTGATAGACAAAAGCGTTCTTACAACTTTCTGTTAAAATGTGTTCCTCTATCTGCTCGGCCAATTGATGTTGCGACCAATTTGCTGTATTCATGTGGTTTCAACTACAAAATAGCCGATGCTAAACGCTTGTCCTCCCGTAGCAAAAATCCACCCATCTTAGTCAAATTATTTTCATTAATCGAGGTTGACACGATCTTTGCCCACCGAGATCGTGTCACTGCATACCTGGAAAATGCAAAATTTTTCCTTTGTCATGATCTTACTCCTGTGGCGCGTAGAATTGGTTCTCTCTTCTCACGTAAACCCACTGCTTCTCAGTCTAATGCTCACCAACTCGGTCATAATACAAGTGGCCGGGAGTATTAAGCTTGTCCTGCTCCTGCGAAATCTGCCTCCCTCCTTCCCTTTACTCCTACATCTCCATCTCACTAAAGCCACTAGACGCATTTGCCTGTCCCTAAACTAGCAGCAGCAGCAGCAGCAGCAGCAGCAGCAGCAGCAGCAGCAGCAGCAGCAGCAGCAGCAGCAGCAGCAGCAGCAGCAGCAGCAGCAGCAGCAGCAGCAGCCGCAGCCCCATTTGTCGTTTCGTATCTTCCGGATAGCCCCGCTGGGACACATGAAAATTCGTCTACACCAGCTAGACCGATAACTTCTCCTGTCCAACTGGGTGCATCAAGCTCTACAATTAAGTCACCCGTGGCTTGGCGTCAGAACGGTGAGACTCGAAAAGTGAATCAGACTCCGACCCAGAAGAAAGGTATTACAGTTCTTTTTAAGGGTATGTCGCCTTCTCTTAGATCTACCAAGTCTATTCAGCCCAGCATGTCTACAAACCCCGCAGCTCCAATTATATCCCCAAACAATTCTCTGTCCTGCGTACCGGTTACTTATCAAAGCTCTACTACATATCCAGCAAATAATTCATACATGAATTGGCCTAAGACATTTATGCCCCAAACTAGTTCAGGCTTCTCACCCCTTAAGGCCAACTGCTCTCAGGTACGTCAGCCTACCTCCTTTGACCTCCAACATAGATCTGGTTTCCCACCTTTTTATTATTATAGCTGCCTACCCTCCCCACAATCCTCTACTTTCATTCTAGGCTACCTCCTCCTCCACTTCCTCCACAATTTAACAACCAACAAGCATATCCATGTTCTGGCTCCCCTACCAGTCGAATGTTCGAAATCTGTATCCCACATTATTTAGGTCTCATGCTAGGCCTTCTCTTGCTGACTCCCCGTACGTCAATAACTCTAGACTATATGGTACCTATTCTCCAATCATCATTAATTCAAATCTTCCATATTCGCCTCCTAACTATTTTTAAATACCATTGACAAGGCATTGCTGTTCGAAACACATAAGATATTATATTATTGAATACCAGGTCTGTTATAAACAAGATGGCCCAGATCAGAGCCACTGTGCTCGAAATGACGCCTGATGTTATATGTGTAACATAATCTTCGATCCATTCTCCAATTCCTGACTCTGCCCTTCTCATAGATGACTTCGATTTTTACCGCCAAGACCGCACGACTAGGCGTGGGGGCGGTGGTCTTCTTCATCTTAAATCCTACCTAAAGCACTCTCCCTATTACTTCGATGTTCCCGCACTCACAGAAAACTTCTGCTTTGCATCTATTATTTTCTCGCCTCAAAGAAAGGCAATTATTGGCTGTATCTACAATTTCCCAAATTCTTTAGCCAGTGATGATTCTCAACTCTGTGAAATCTTTAAATTAATTTGGGAAGCTGCTTTCGATGCTAAAATAATCACTGGGGATTTTCACCTTCCTGAAATAGACTGGGTTTCCAATAGCTGCCCACCCAGATTCCAGCCCTTTCAAGATATCTTCAATTTTTCTAATTGGTCCCAACTGGTGCGCTCTCCAACAAGAGATAATCACATTTTAAATCTAATCTTTACCAATGACCTTGCTCCTCTTTCTGTTGCTTTAAAAAGGACCTCTTTGACAGTGACCACGTATTAATTCATTGTTGCTTACTACTTGCCTTTTCAAAAAAACCAGCGTCCTTCGGACTTTCATGAACTACGACTGCGTAGATAACGACGTAATAAATAACTATATTAAATATTTGGATTGGTGTGGCTTCCTCACTTGTAGCGATGCAATCATTCTTCGTGATGTCATGTCCAATGTTTCCAAGGACATCCTAGAATTTGTGCCGCGTAGATATCTAAAGCCTAATTCTTCAGATTCCCTTGTTCCTCATTTTCTTCAGAACAGACTGAAATGTTGAGGCGACAACTGCGTGACCCATCCACTAGTTACTTACCAGTTCATCTTAGAATCACAGAGATTTTTGAGATGGCCTCAAGGATGCGCCGGGTGCGCGACAGGCAATGAGAATCCCTTACCCTCAGTGATTCGAACCCTGGCAAATCCGTCGCTAACATCTTCCGTCATCGGTCCTCCTCTAAGCGGGGTCACGAACTTCCACCCCTGTTAAATGATAAGAAAGTCTTCCTCATCGATGACACTGACAAGGCGGAGTTGCCTTGTTCTTTCTTTGCAAAACACCTTGCTACCGAGTCCGATCTGGTCCCTTTCTTTCGATTGCTTTCAGATAGGACACTTAGTACAATCGATGTCTCCTAATATCTCATTAAGAAACGCATAAGTCTTTTGAAACATTCACAATGCTCAGAAATGGACGGGATTCCAAATGCGATTATTAAACAAGCGTCCGACTTTCCCATATTGCTCAGTCATTTATTCTCGGTTTATATTTCAAAAGGATTCTTTCCTGAAATATGGAAAACGTCAATTATCATTCTTGCCTTCAAGTCTGAATCTCGGTCCGATGTTCGTTCGGGCTTCGCAGTAACGCATAAAGTTCTGCTAAGGATTTCGGGAAATACTGATTTTGGAAAGGGGGCTTGACTATTACAAGAAAAATAAGGCGCTCTGGGCTCCACAGGAAGGCATAAAGATATGGTATAGCATGGAGTGCGGGGAAAATCGGTATCGGAAAGGTTGACTCTGGACAAAAACGCGAAAAATAAGGGGTTAGGGGCTTCACAGTAAGGCGAGACCGTCTGATATGCCAAAGGGGTGTGCGAAAACGACAAAGATCAGGCGTCCTCCTGCGCATTTTTTTTCGGTGAGTGGCACGAGGCCCAACATCGTGAATCTGCCCGCCATAGTCTCTTCGTACCTTTTCTTCGGCGCCTACACAGCCCCCCCTTCCACAGCCCCTTCATAGCTCACTCGCGAGGCGGGGGTGCGAGGTGGCACGGGGGAGTGGCTACTGCTGACAGGGATTGCAAATATTATGCGTTCATTACAATGCACACATAGACAAGTAAAGCCTTATAGCTGATTTTTAGGCTTGATCTTCGGTAAAATTTTACTGCTCATCTGATCGCTCATGCAAATCACTACTGCTTACAATTCCTGCTTTAAAACAATTTATTTAGAGTGAACTTTGTGTAGATAGCGCGCACGAGGCCTATCTACAAATATGGATACTTCAAAATAAACCAATTTTTGATATAAATTGGAAACAAAAACTATCGCTTCTGTTGTGTCGACAGAGTTGACTGGTTAGTATAATGAACGGGTTCTTTTATTGCAAAAAAGCACTTCAACATGCATTTTTTGTCCCGTTATCTGTTATGCATACTAAAAGATCTTAGTTCCACCGGATTTTACTGACAATTTCGCTAAAGTTTTCCAATCCGAAATTTAAACTGGAGCATCCGAAGGAGACTATTGAACATCTGTCTACATGTAGAGTTGAGGCCCAACAATTACAACTTTGTAATCCCATGGAAAGACGCAACACAGCACCAAACAGTGTCGAGATGTTTCGTCGAACAAAAGAATCTCCCACCGTTTCTGGAAAATGCTTCGCTTCACTGTCTAGACAGGATTTAATTGCCATTTCCACTAGATACTTCTGGATATCCTTGAGGTCTGTATGCTACTTTCGGCAGTTCCGTTTGTTGAAAGTCTTTTCTTTGTTATTATTTGCCGCCGTTGTTAAATAAATAATGTTTCCTTTAACGTTGGCTAAGTCAGTGTTTTCAAATGGTCCTGGCGTAAGTGCTGTTCAGTTCTGTCTCGTTTAAGAGGTATAGAAACTTGGAATTGTTCAAAAAATGGCACACTAGATCAACGTTATCACCTTTACTACGTTCAAAATTCAAAAACTGTTACGTGTATTTTAATGCGCTGTGGCTAAGACCCACTAACTGAACACTGGGCATCCGGTTGGCCGGTTTTTGCTAACGGTCTCTTTACACCACTTTTCCAGTCTCTTATTTGTCAGCCCCTCGCCTTTTTACAATGCCTCGTGCGGTTCAATGGTGGCTTAATATGGACATGCCACCTGGATGGGAGATGTCGAAGGCTAAAGGCACCAACAGGCCGTAATCATCTTGTTTTTATTATTCTCTCCAAAGATACTTTATTAACCATAACGATCACACGACGACATGGGAAGATCCAAGGATTGCATATTACACTAAGAGGCCCTTTTGTGAATCTACTGAATCGGATCCGTCAGATTCGGTAATGAGTAGTGCATCTTCGCCTACGCCCTCTTAAAATTATAGGAGGCGAATGTTGCTGAGTATCAGTCGCCTGACGCATCCTATGCTGAATGCTCTGTCAGGTCCCGTTGGGACGAAATCCCTGCTGATTTTCGGGATGACTCTAGGTTGGTTCATCTTTATTCGTGATTAATGACTCAAACTTGTTTCACGCTATGTAGACTCCCCGTTTTGAGAAAAATCGCACATTAGAGATGTTATTAAGGAAGGCCGATTTAATGATTCCAGGGGCTTTTTACTGTGTATATCAGCCATTTCGTTCGCACCTTTAATTGCTTATCTCCCCAAGTACAGGGACGTCTTCTCTCAGGGATTCATTACTGATTCCTGAACGACAGACGTGGTTTTCGCAGCTTCCAAATTACATGAAAAATACCAAATGGAAAGGATCCGCCTCCCACAGAGGACTTCCGCACTGTGGGCCGACATGGACTCTGGGAGTTTAAATGTCCTGAAAGCTTTACCTTGATGGTCAGCCTGCCCCACGACAGCATGATGCTTCGCGCTAGTCGGTGGACAAACCTCCAAACCATTTGCTACCGAAACAATTATTTGCCTGACGCAGCCCTCTTCTCTGCGGTGCTGGTGGACGTTTGTCTTTTTGTTCAACCGGGGATGAATATAGGTATCGAACTTTCGAAAACTAGTTGGGTATCTGACATGCACATCGTCGCAACAGTCTCCAAGGTCTAGCAACCTGGATACCACAACAGAGGTTTAAATGCGGTGAACCTTGGAACTTTCCACCTGTGAGTTCGCCGCCTGCGAACTAAACATCCGCATGGAGAGGATAACCGCCATTCGTCCACTGCCACCTACCAAAAACAAGGAACTCCAAAGTTCCGTCGATGATAGTGGCTCTACTGATGGGCTAAAATTCCTGTCTCAGAAGTACGACCTCAGGTTAACACCCGGATAGATGGTATAGTTTACACACCTGTTGCCCAAGGTCGGCCAGTCATTCGGCTGACATTTATACCCCAGATGAGGTCGTCGGCCATTTTATTAAACACCAAAGATGTGGAAGGTTGTGATCCTGAAAATACTTCGCTACAGCCCTATGACCTGGGGAATTTATCATAAACGAGATCCGAAGCGTAACCTTCCTAATTTAGGCTGCTTTAAAATTAATTCTTAGGTCTTAGAACCGATTTTTATGGCCTACGTCATTGCAGTGATGAAGCAGTCTTAACCTAGATAGAACAGGCGCACCCTGAGAATGTCTAATGAACGCCTGCGGAAGAAACTGCACAGGCAAACCTCAGGAGTCAGACCCAAGTGCTGTATCGTCAATCACGAGCCTTTGGACATTCGTACAGGGCCGGTAGGTATGACAAACTGAAGCAATGAATGATGCGGCTATCATCGAAGCCAATCAAATACAAAAGGCTAGAAAGAAAAGTCAAGAACGCAATGACATTCCCAGTGGCCAGCCCCTTTCCAGGTGTTCTCACAGTCACCGCACATTCGGAGGTCGCATTGATCTTGCGAGCTATCGCACGCATCAGAACATTACCAACGACAATGTGGATACCATGCTGTGAAAAGTTGCAAAAGCAAAAAAATCGCTTCACGCCCACCCACACCGTAAGGGCACATTCCGGCCCAGAATATTCGTGTCCACCCTAACACATCCGGCTGTCATCCGTTCTAATTTCCGAACATGCGCAACCTCGGACTGCAGAAACCGACTCAGCAACGCGTAGGTCACGTCGACTGTCTTACCCATGTTACATCTGTAATTCCAACGTAGGACTAAATTAATAAAGCATTCGATGTAACTGCTGCTAAACGTAGGTCCACGGATACTGTCTCAGACTGCCAACTTCGTCGTCTTCACAAATGCACTCCTAGACCTGCCCCACCTGCTCAACGCAAACGTAGAATACCCATCACTCATAATTTTTTCCCTGACCAGTGCCAATATTCTGAAAACCACTCTAGCCTACTCCTGCTCTCAACAGACTTAGAACTGATGAATATAGACTTAAACATATGCACTACTCCCTTAGTAGTGCGCAGCAGATGTCGCTGTTCGCCTAAGCCACGGATTCGGATTGGTGAGAATGACCGCCCCCGATTAGGACGGGCCAAGTGTCAAAGGATGTTGTTTCCTCCTGAATCCGAAGCATAGCGCTCTAGTCTATTACCAGTCTATCTGAGTGTTCATATTCGCCTTTTGAGGGTCTTTGATCCTCTCGAATGTAGTCCCTTTTTCTCTACTCTGTCTTTCCTTTTGACTGTCATAATTTACATTTTCAGACCTTGATGTCTGTCAACTCATTTTTCGTGTTTGCGCCTCAAACTTGTTCATTTTACCTACCCATTAAAGGTCGTCGGTTAACTCTTCTCATCGCTCGTCAAATTCCGAGGGTAGGTTGTGAGGTTGTTCTCCTTATTTTCGTTTTTCTCTATCCCACCATATTTTCAGTTAACTATTTGTGCTGCCAGGTCATGCATTTTTAATGCAAGTTACGTTACTAACACCAAAAGAGGGATGCTGTTGGCTATCTTAGTAAAAGTTTTCGTTCGCCGAGCCCACCGTCTTCTTAGTCTGCATATCTCATTACTCTATTTACCTCTGAAGGTTCGGTGCGAGCAAGCATGCTAGACGATTGTGTCACCGCACAGGCCTTGCCTAAATGTGGCAAATGTTTAGCATAATTACCAAGACTAATTCATAACCTGTCTATGCAAAACTAACTAACGTTCTCCATATACGATACACTTCCCAAGGCTTCTTTATTGTGACTGAACAAGAGTTAGAGCGGAATACGCAAGGAATGCTCTTTCACTTAACTGAGCTCGAGGGAGCTCACTGTACTGAAACTGTTTCAAACCGATGATTAGGCACATTCCAAGTGTTACATCCAGCTATTTAAGTAACCGCCGCGATTAGTCATAAGTTCGTAGATAGACCTCTATCTGCGAATGTCTCTGATGATGGATTCGAGTGAGAATCCGAAACGTCAGGCAAATAAACTTCTTGCCCCAGTGATCGCATCGTCATCTTCTGAGTCATAAGTTCATGACTGTGTATCGTTATAATGGGTCAGGAGCGCGCCTCATTGGATAATCCTCGATGTCGCGGACTTCACTGTTACGATCATAACACATGGCCTATCGTAGGCCGTTTATGTGGTCGATTTTTGGTTTAACATCATTGTTTTCCACGCCTTTGAAGCCTAATGGCCTTTCAAGATAGCCAGGTTGCGTCGCCTGCGTGTTTATGCAACATTGCCTACTACGTTGACAAATCCAGTCGCGCTCCGGCTCTTACGTCTTGTATTATCGACTTCCTTATTTTAATTGATTTACCTTGACTGTGAGTTCAGGTTGTATCGTTTCAGTTGTTACGCCTGACGCTTCTATGACACTTTTGAGGCAGTTTGCGCGTAATGCACCTGATGAGGACTGCTTCTATTGGGGCTTTCTGCTTTTTCCCTAGGTCTCAGAAGGTCCCTTCGGTCTGCCGCAGCCCGCTCTACACCAAGTAACCGCTCCCATAGGTCGCATCGAAGTGGAAGCGAACGCGTGACCCACGAAAGGACGACTCACCTTTCTACATGGACCTCCTTGCGGAGCGAACGATCCTTATCGAAACACCGACGCCGAGGAGACGAATCGTATGAAGAGGAGCCAATGAAGCCACTGATGGAGTCCGATGAAGACCAGAGAACCTTGCAGGACTCGCCAACCCCAGAACAGTGCGTTCGGTTCACGATTCTTACAATGCACTTATGTTGAGAAAAAACACAATATGTCTTGATTCCCTGTGTGTGCGTGTGCTTTTGCCTGCCCACCCCCAAAACGGGCCATGCAGGATGCGCCGGACTAACACAGGGGCTAGGTCGGAATCTCGCAGGTGTTATTAAGAATGCGCACCCATAACGACTGTCAACATCTGGGGTGTTGTAGCATGCCCAGGTCAAGGCTCACGTCGCACCAACAGGAACCCAGGTCATCCCCTTCCATTCCAGGTGTATTAGATCCTGGCCAGGGGGTACGTTGTGGACCAGGGGTGTGGTATTGCATCTGAGTGCGGGTTTTCGGCGTGCCAGCCACCCGCGTTCCCTCCCGCCTCCGGTCTTCTTGACTCTGTCTTGACACCGGACCCAGGAGAGGGTGCGATAGATGCAGCGCAAGTCCACTATCACTTTAAACTAGCACACGCGCAAATCACCGTCCCTGTTCTCATCTTGCTGTGGAGCACACGATCGAACGGCCTGGTGTTTTTGAGACTGCGGTTACCAAGCAAACCCCGTCTGGCGGTTTCGTGCGATCCAACTGTGTAGAACATAAAGCCTGCATCCGATAATCTCCACATACTAAACGACCATCGCTAGCTGTACTGTAACTCAAGACCACCCACTAAGCAGTGCTTGTTCACCGTCTCGTTTTCACTGAGTTGGTTGGATGCAATAGAAGACCAAATGACTTGGTATTAATTCCCTCGCAGCTTCCCAAAGCGCTGCGTATCACGTGATTAGGCTTTCCTATTTTGCTGTCAGGAGCAGATCCACTAAAGTGCTTTTATATGTATATATATTTTTAGGACGCCGACACAGGACCAAACCGTCGCCTCAGAGACTGCAGGAGAGTCCGTGGAATCCCCTAAATCTGGAGTAAGTACAAGTCTCGATTCGTCCCACCTGTTTGTGCCTCTTTGCCGTTCTACTTCGGTACAAGTGGGTTTTAGCCGTAGTTTTCCAAAACTGATGTCGAATTTCATGGATTCCGGCATTTATCTTTTCGCCTTATGCATACGTAGGCATTCCATTTATGGAAATCTAGACAACTAAGCATCACATTCTCTCGATAGCAGGATCTACTTTCAGTTTATTTCTTCAGTCTGCGCCATGAACACCCTTGGAACAAGGTTTTTTCCCATGAGTCAGACTACTAAATGTGAACATCTGCTGGCCAGCTCTGTTTTACTTGTTAAAGTCCAAGCCCATTCGTAGTGCGCGTCCGCAGTTTCCTCTAATTATTACGGTTGTGACCATGTCTGATGTAGTCGACCTCGGTAGGATCAGAAGCAGTGGACCCAGAGAGGCCTTTTTTCGCAACGAATACTGAGTACCGAATGCTCATTAATCCTCTTCGTGAAATATCCATCCAAATAGCATCATGCCTGTACGTTTTTTAATGCTCCTTGTGAAGCATGCAACATAGCCCGCCAATTTTATGAGCCCCCTATGGTATCTTCCTAGTGTCATGGAGGAGCATATGATCCTCCTCGTCTGAAAGCCTAAAATCTAGATGCAACTGCATCTCATTTGAGAATTTTGGCCAACACTTCATGAGATTGGTCGCTGGTTGTAGTACGCTCACAATCAGTGCTGTTGCTCAGTTTTGTGACCTTTCTATCAAGAACTTGAAACATGAAGGTGACTACTGGTAATGCCGCCATCGCAAGTATATCTAGCGTCCTCGAAGATAGCTGGAGCGACATCCCATGCCCTCAGTGCGGCAGCTGTAACTCCAAAGCCGCGCTCGGCTGTGGAAGCGATCATCTAACAAATTAGCTCAACGCAGTCTGCCAGGTTCAAAGGATGGTTACTGGACTCCACTGGTTTAATTCTTGGTCGTGGTGAAGATAAGTAGGTGTGTGATCCTCACTGTTGTATTTGCGATCTCACTCGATCCCATTCTGTCCGCCCGCCAGCTTGCTACTGGCGACAACGGACGCTGTGTCATAGGACACATGCCACATCTAATACATAGGCTGCTCGCTTAGAGTGCAACATTCCAGAAGCAGACAGTTGTTTCGCGGTCGTTACCGATCGTCAGTACGTCACATGCCATATGAAGTGAGGTATATAAGCGTGTCAGGTAGGCATGTGACCCTCACTGGTGTGGTTAAGTTCTCACTCGATCCCATTCTGTCCACCCGTCAGCTTGCTACTGGCAACAACGAACGCTGTGTCTTAGGACACATACGCCTACTTGACATGCCTATATACCTTACTGCATAAGGCCTAGGACGCACTGATGGTCGGTAACGACTGTGAAACAGCTGTCTGCGTCCGGTCTGTTGCACTCTTAGCGAGTTGCCCATGCGTTACAGTGAACCCATTTTCGCAGGTGACCGCGCTTAGACGGTAATTATGCTGGACACCAACAAGACTGACCAGAGCAGGCGAGATCACAGTAATATCGGTCACTGCTATCTTCTCCTTCGGAGTTCACATCCCCCCAACATTTAAATAACCAATGGTAGGAGGCGCTCACCCATCGTTCTTACGGAACTCACTCGTTCCGTTCTGCCTTACGGGCTCTCTCTCGAGCCCAACCAGCAGCTGCACAGTGACGCATGATATGGGCAGTATGTTATTAACATAAGATAACATAATAACCTACTGCCTATATCATGCGCCGCTGTGCGACTGCTGGTTGGGCTCGAAAGAGAGCCCGTAAGGCACAACGGAACGAGTGAGTCCCATAACACGATTTGTGAGCGCACCCCCCCCCCTCACCATTGTATATTTCCGATCGAAACCGACAGAGCAACGGGCTCGTGGCCCAGCGGTTAGAGGCGTGGACATCTAACAAACAGGTCGCGAGTTCGAGCCTCGTATGTGCCACACTTCGGGGTTGGGTATGACTAGCTGACGACGCCTGATAAGTCAGAAATGGCCATTCCGGTCTCCCTTGTCTTTGTCGGTAATAACATACTATTTAAATAACCATTTATTGCCATCAACATGTCTTTTTTTGGTTTCTCTAAACTGCATGTGTAGATTGAGTGCTCCATAAACGACGAAACTTCCGCACCAACACCGTCGCCATCAGCTCACCTCACTCGATCCACTCTGGCCGTCGGTCCGAATCCGGCTCTCCGCGGTGCTCGTATAACCGCTCGTGGGCCCGACCCCAGCCTTCTACGCGCCGCCGATGTCCGCTTGGCCAAGGGACCCAATCCCAGCCTGCGCCGGGGACCCAATCCGGATTTGCTAGGCGGTAGCACACCTGCCGCCACCGCCACCAGTTTTGGCTCAGTCACCGTTCGATTATCGTCTCTAGTCCTCGCTCGTTGAAATCGTACGCCTCTTCCGGCCCTTGACATCCAAGTTTTCAGCTGTTATTGTTGAATTTCTCTGGGTAGCCTTTACTCTACGCTACGCACAGACAATTCCGTCAACACTTTACTGTGATATTCCTCTTTTTAACAGTTTTGTGTTGTACTTTTCCCTTGATTTTTATTTGTGTTTCTAACTAGTAAACTTTCGAGGGAATCATTTCGTGAACCCTGACATTTTTAAGATTAACATTACGAGACATTTTTACTGCTTGAATCGTGTCATTACCTTACATTATTAATTATTTCTTGGACAAATTATATTTCTCAGTGCCTGTGTACTACTAAAGTGTGTTTTTTCTCCTGAAGAATGCTTTGGCATTCTGGGAAGTCCCAGTAGGCTCCATAATCCGAGTTTGAAGGTCGCGCGCGAAGATGTCCACCATTGTCTCGAGCCCACAGTAGTCATTGGCATACATACTTGATTCTACATTTTGACATGGCGACGAGAAAGGGCCTGTGTGACCATAGACTGTTGTCTGACGAAGACAATTGGACCGTTTACGCGTCCCACACGCGTGCTTGGCCATAACTTCCGGTCTGGGGTCTTATCGGCAGGAGTTGCCATAAGCATCACGTTAGCAAGAATTCATTGCTGCGCCTAGCCCTCAGTTATGGGTGGGGTCGGGCTATTCTGTCAGGTGGCAGCCTCTAGGCAAGATATTGTATCACGGCAGTTTAGCTGTTCATAGTGATCAAGTGATCACATGTTCCAGGGCTAAGCTGACTAGGAGTGAGAGTGGAAGTGATCGCCCACGTGAACTGAGCTTAATGCCTAACGCGTGGCAGACACTAGCTCAAAGCTCACGGAGGCGGTTGGTGTCGCAAAGGTCGAACTGGAGGGGAGCCATTGGTGTCTGAGCATTCCATAGAGGGAATCGGCCTAGCCTGCCAACTGACTGCCTTCGTGACCACCACTTTTAGCATGTCATGGTAGCTTCAGACGCGTCAGTGTAGGAATAGACTGATTTGCCAGTAGGGAGGATGCTTCCGAACTATGCCCACCCGCACATCACCCCTCGAGTGTCTTGCCTGAGAATTTTGACCGACTGGTTACGGGATTGGACGCAGTGCCCGAGTTTGCATGAGCCTCACTCAGCCGCGACACATAGACCGGCGCAGTTCGACTATCCCGTGCGACCAGCCTCTTTGGCTTCAGATTTTCTTCAGTACAGCAAGCTCAAGGTTCTAGCGACAGCTCACCACATGGCTCTAGAGTGGATTTCGCCAAACATATAAAGGTAGGGAAAGTGGAATCTTCCGGGGATTTGGGGTGGGAGGAGATCCAACCCGATTTTGGAACAATTCGGACTTGCAGCGAATTTTTCATCACTATGTTGGAAGCCCGGAACATCTAAAAGAGGCTCCCCTTCTGTTTCGACTACTCGAAAGACGTATGCCGGGGGACCCGAAGAAGCCGCGGTTTCATCCTCCTGCCTTCTCCCTCAAGGTTTCGTAAATCCGTCTGCGAAGTATTATTTCCCACCCTTTCCGGAACAGATTTGGGGTGGTTATCTCTTCCTTGGAGGTGTTTCCCCAGGAAGAGTTCGACTGGCTTGATTTTGTAGACATGAGATGAGATGGCTTGGTTGGTACAATGAATGATCTCAAACGGGTCACGTGGTAGATGCGCTGGACAAACACGAGGGTCATATCGAACTTTGGCAGGCGTTGTCGGATTTGTGCACCACGACAAATGCCAACATTCCGGGTTGTGATGGCAGACCCGGTTGCCTGAAGGCGTCGCGCACACTGGGACACCTGGCAGAACTCCCCATTGATGTTGTTGTTGGTTAAAAACCTGTTCATTTGCTGTGTGGACCAGGGGGTTTGGAGTGTAGTGCCAGGGTGTGGGCTCGACCGTGTCATCCATCGGCGTCCCCTTCCCCGCCTCCGATCCTCCTGACTTTGTCTTGACACTCGGTCCAGGTGAGAGAGGAGGAGAGAATGCGGTAGATGCTGTGCAATTCTACTATCACCACAAACCAGTTCACGCACAAGTCACCGTCCCTGCTCCACCTTTCTGTGGAGTACACGGTGGACATCGGCTTTTTGAAAAACGCCTCGTAGCTATGGCTTCGACACTTGCCGCACTGAGGACGGGCCTACCTGGCTTCTGACATTTGCCACGAAAGATATCTTTGCCATGCAGCCACGATAGTAATTCACTTGTAATTCCACCCGCGCCACGTCGTCCGTGGGAACCGAACTGCCGGATCCCAACAGATGAACCGGCTGTCAGATGCGCGTCGCAGACTTCCATCCTACTACAGGGAGAGGTAGCTCGTCTTGCTCGCTGTAGCTTTCGCATTCTTAAAAACTAGGGTTCAGCATCCTCTAAATTTCGCCACGGGAACAAAAGGTCAGGGCGAGGTGTCGTCTACTTCCTCTGCATTAACACCATGTTCGACTAATCCTTCAGATGGGGAGTCTCGTTCGCGCTGTTGCCGAGAGCGCGGCAATCATCTAGGCTGGTGGGGGGGGGGGGGCACCCATCTCCTTTCGCGTCGCCTACATGTGACGAAAAGGTATAGTTACAAACAGAGCAGGTAACAATTAGGTGAACAAGCAGCTCTAAAACCGTCTTCCTTTCCACCGTCAGCAAGTGTTGTAGGGGATTAGAGAGCGCGCGTCGACGGATCTACTGTAAAGACCACACATGTTCTCGGCAAGTTTGCCACTGCTATTCGACCTGGCGGTGGCGACCGAACTAATGGGATCGCTGACGATGGCTGGTTGTTTGTGCTGACCCGGCATTCGAATGACGTTTCCCACTTGTGGGGTTTAGTTATTAGAGCTTAACTCAGGACATATAGTAAGTGGTCTAACTCATGAAATGTCAACCGAAATTTCGAAATGCGTTTTTGTTCCGGAAAGATTAATTAAGTAGGGTTGCAGAACTAATCATTGTGCAGCATAATTCTATAATAATTCAGTTGCACCAGGATGCCGGCTTTCGAATAAACGTCACATTTCCTAATGGGTCACGAGTTTAACTTCGCAGCCACCAAAATAGTCGCCCACGCCGGAAGCAAAACAGGCCGAGAATTGATTGAAGCCTGGGTCTCGGATGAGAACTCGGTCAATCGATTTATCGATCTGGCGCCGGCGTACAGAGCCCTGCGTAATCACCTCCAGTTTTGCGCCGTCGATCGATGATTGGCCTACATGCCTTATAACTGTCGCTTGCTTTGTTGCTGCAACTACCTCTGACGATGGACTCCTGTACGAGTCTGAAAGCTCAGAACAATAATCAAAGTGTTTCGGTGCTCGAATCTTCTTCGCCAATTAGTGAACGTCTTTAAGTACACATTCGCGAAAATGGCAAATTGAGATAGCGGCTATCTATACCAAAACGTCGACAACTGCCTCATTTTAATGGGAGATTGTGCACCCGCCTCACATGAAGCTGGAAGCGGAACTGTCATGAAGAGCCATTGTTAACCCTTCGTCTACGCGTATAGGAGACTACCGGATGAATGAAAAAAGGTGCATCAGATGGCAGGGGAGCTGAAAACCGAAGCAATGCGTCGTCAGAGAAGGCGGACGTTCGGAACCGAACGAAACCGATGTCGGTAGAACATGATATGACCCCCACTGCTGATGACACCATAAACCCCTATCCGCTCCTCTACATTTGTTAGGGAACAACTGAGAAGCCCATCGGACCATTAAAAAAAACGAGACTGATATCTCTCACCTCACAAAGTGAGCGACTATAGTTGAATTTTTTGACCTGCCATCTCTGCATACGCAGCTCTGCCCCCTATAAAGGGCCACACAGGAGTTATTGCGCTGCACATGCGGGAGGTGTGGTGGCACGTCTAGGCGCGAGCTCATGTAGCGCCAGACTCCGAGGCCCGATCCCACCTCCGGTCTCGTTGACTCTGTCTTGACGCGGCTACCTTTCAAACATCCCTTTCTTCTATGACTGGCTGCACACCGCCCCCCTCCACTGTCGAAATTCGAACACGGTTCCAGCTGTCCTCTTAATTGCTGTAAAGCAGGCACATCCGTCGATCAAGTTCACGTTGAAGATGGAGACGGCTGGTTCACTTCCATTTTTTGGATATCCTTCTGAGCAGAAGACCTGACGGTGGCGTCCGAAGAAGCGTCAATCAGGAGAAAATCTGGTCTGGAAAGAACACGAACTTCGCAGTTTTGTACCTCTCCGATGAAAATGAAATCTGGCCCAGTGTTTGGCGCAAAGGACCGGGAAGATTTGTTCGACAGACAGCAGCGAGGAGGAGCTTAGACGCACCCAGGACTTGTTTCGCGAAAACAGGTGTCCTGACGCGTTTATTACAAAGAATATTGTCGAGCTACCGGGAAAACCCACTACGCTGATTGCCGAGGAGAAAACTCTGTTTCTCAAGCCCCCTTTTCCAGGGACCCTGCGAGTGAACTCCAGGGAGACGCCTTGATCAAGTTCTCGCGAACCCTCTCAGTAGCAAGTGTTCGAATATTATTCTCTACTTACCCTATTTTACGTGTAGAAGGTAAGAAGAGGTTGCCATCTCAGACCACTTCAGTGTACATCTACTGATTCACTTGCTCCTGTTGAGCAGGTTATGCCGGTGGCACGAGAAAGCACTTATCTAAAAGAATACGAGGGCCGGATCTTATTTTGTAGCCGTAACTGCAGTAGACAAGCCACAGCCTACCTCCTGACCCCAATCCCTACCAGGTACGGCTACGAGATAGGATGTCACCAATACGAGAAAAGACGAAACGATGAGCATAAACAGCGATATTTTCGCACATGTAGTTGATTTCAGACATCGTGTATGTGGTTAACAAGGTCCCATCGAGCTAACTTGAGCTACTGGGCCAACCCCTATTAACGACAGCAGAAGTGGCCACGATCAGGCTACAAAATTCGGTCTTATGCTCACAGAAGAACCACCTTCAGGCTTTGCGCTAGAATCGACTAACTAAATGCACCTCTTCGCGCCCTTC